CCTAGCACTTGCACATATGACGGAGCCTCCCATTCTCTCCACTAACATGCTATGACTCATACCCACCAGCTAGGAAATCACCCTTCTCCCTCAAAGCCATCAAGCAAGGGGCAGTGGCTCTGTGGCAGGTAATCTAGGGCCTGTCTACTGACATTCTCTACCCATCCAGCTTAAGAGACAGATGTTACCTTCTTATGTTAACTGTCAAGTAGTCCTAGTGGCGCAGTGGTTAAGCACTTGCTTGCTAATCAAAGGGTTGGCAGTTTGAATCCACCAGCTGTTCCAAAGGAGAAAGATATCTATAAAGATTTCAGCCTTGGATACCCTATGTAGCAGTTCTACTCTGTCCTATAGGGTCCACATGAGTTGGAATTGACTTGATAGCAGGGTGTTTGAGTATGCTAATTTCATGTATATTCTTTATGCTAAAACAGCCCATAAATTCTTTGAGAGCATTTTTTGTATTCTCAGTGCCCTACCCATAGTAAGCATTCAAAGAAATCATATTTCATTCATGGAATAAACAATGTCATTATTGACTTAACAATAATTTCAGTAATAATAATGGCAGCTATCATGTATTCAAGGAGTGCTTGGGGGTGCAAACAGTCAAAGTGCTCAACTGCTAACCAAAAGGTTGGAAGTTCAAGTCCACTCAGAGGCCCTTCAGATAAAAGGCCTGGCCATATACTTTGGAAAAAACAGCCATTGAAACCCAATGGTATATAGTTCTACTGTAACATACATGGAATCACCATGAGTTGGAGTCATACAACAACTGGTTTTGTTTTTATCATGTATTCAGTACCTACTGGGAGAAGTAGCATAGAGGTTAAGAACATGGACTGTGGAGGTAGGCTGTCCAGGTTCAAATGCAAGTCCACCACTTACTAGCTATGTAACCTTGGGTAAGTTATTTTAACCTCTCTGTACTTTAGTTAGGAGCTCTGGTGGCATAGTGCCTAAGGCATTTGACTGTTAACCAGAAGGCTGGTGGTTCAAACGCACCAGCTACTCCTTGGAAGGAAGACTGGGCAATCTACTCCTGTAGCGATACTGCCTCGGAAACCCAAGGTGGGATTGCTATGAGTGGGAAATGACTTGACGGTAGTGAGTTTGGTTTTTGGTTTTATACTTGTTATTCATCTATCAAATGGTTAAAATAATAATACCTATCTCACAGGATGGTTATGAGGGTTATTTGAGTTAATATATATTTTTAAACTCTTACAACAGTGTCTTAGGCACATAGTATGTGCTGTATAAATTTAGCTATTTTTATCCAAGAGACTTTATAGACATTAAGTTTATTCAATCCTAACTAAGATTTAAGGTACAAAATTTCATATATACTTAATCAATGACAAAAATGAAGTTTAGCAAGGTACAGTAATTTGCTAAAGATCAAAGCTAGTGTCTGAGACAGTCTTTGAACCAAGGCAGGCCAATCCAAACTTTGGATTTTCTACTATACAGTGCCAACTTTATGTCAAGGACTATGCTACATGATGAACATTGTAAAACTGAATAAAAGAGTTTCCATGGTTGGTGATATTACAATGCTAAAGATAGAACATTTGTTTGGTGAAGACAAGGACTACTGGAATGTATACCTATGCTGACTATCAATCATATCAAGGGCTATTTCATATTTCTCATTTAATAGTCATAAAAATTCCATTGTACAAGCTGAGAAACCAAGGGTCAGAGAGGTTAAGTAACTTCACACAATGGAGCCAGAAATCAAACCCAGGTCTTGACTCTTCAAGAAACCTGTCTCTGAGCTTTCCTAATCCTGGTTTGTCCTTTCCATGGACTTGCCCATCTTATCTTTGGTCCCATACCCCATAATAAACTTACTCAAGTCAAACAAAATTCCAAGCTACTTACATTTTGAAGAAAGCTACCAAACAAATCAAGAGAAACAAAAAGTAGCATCTGAAAAATGAAGGGGCCAGACTAAGGTGCCTGGGCTCATCCAAATTCTCACTTATAAACCATGACCAAGCATAGAACGCATAAGAAGGAACTCAAAAACATTATTGAATGGATGGGTATCTCCTTATTTGCAATCATTTTGGAAAAGGGAACAGAACCAAACCTACTGCCATTGAGTCAATTACAACTCATAGTGATGCTATAGGACAAAGCAGAACTGCCCCATAGGATTTCCAAGGCTACAAATCTTTACAGAAGCAGGTTGCCAAATCTTTCTCCCGTGGAGCGGATGGTGGGTTTGAACTCCCGACCCTGTGGATGATAGCTAAATGCTTTAACCACCAGGGTTAAACCTGTGCCACCAGGGTTCCATTAAAGAAAAGGACCATTACTATAAATGTGACTACAGTAATGGGTCCAGTCTCCTCTTTCCAACCCCAGATTTTGTCAGGTACATTTGACATTTGTTCACGCTGGGAATCATCACTAAGATTTATTTCTATGCTGGACTAACTCTAGAGGTTAAAATCATCCAGGCAGGAAAAATAAAAAGGTATTTTCTATCCTAGGCTGAACTGGCTTCTTCCAGATAGTTCTGCACTGGCTTCTGCAGAAGTATCTCAGGTATAGTTCTGTCCTCTTTTTATGTAGGATCCTAGGCCACAGAGGAATGGCAATGGAACTACAAAGCCACTGGTGGAAGTAAGGGCTTGCTTCTCTGCCCCTGCAACCCAGAGCCCAGGCTAGACAGACAGGCCTCTCTTTGTCTCCCTGTGCAGGTGGGTAGATGATTTTCTGTACCCTTTCACTAAGACAGCAGTTCTTCCTGTTTTGAGTTTAGGCTGGGTCACAATACAATGGGGTAGGGTGGGGAAACAGTGCCAACTCTCTACTTTACACAGGTCTCTTCTCCTGTCCCCACATGGGTCTAAAGGTTGGATTCAACTAAGGTTTTCAGTTCCCTTTCTTTTGTGGCCCCTGAAAATTTTCCTTACTTTCCTGTGAGTTCAATTATACATTTAGTTCTGTAGCAGAAGTGTTTTCCAGATTATCTAGTCCATTGTATTTCCAGAAATGAAAGTCAACTGCCTTTAAGAAAAATTGTGGTAAAATACAACATAACACAAAATTTGCCATTTTAACCATTATAGTGTACAATTCAGGGTCATGAACAGCCTTTTTAATATCTCCTAAATGGGTCTATTTCTCTCTACCTTCAGTGTTGTTAGTTCATGCCATCACCCTTATCTGATTTCTGCAAGAGCCTCTTACATGTCTCCCTCCCTCCACTCTACCTTCCTCCAGTTCATGACTCTATTAATGTTGTTGTTGTTGTTAGCTGCTGTTGAGTCAGTTCCAATTCATCATGACCCACATACAAATGAACAAGCACTGCCCAGTGCTGTGCACCATGTGCACAATCATTGGTAATCAAGCCTATTGTTGCAGGCACTGTGTAGTTTGACCACCTTCCAATCTAGGGGAGCCTGTAGGCTGTTATGCCACATAGGACCTACAGTGCAATTACAGAGCCACTGGTTAAGGTAAGGATTTGCTTCTCTGCTGTCTCCTCTATCCTAGAGCCCAGGCTAGATAGACAGGCCTCACCTTCCAGCACTGGCCAAAGTTCTCTCATGATCCATTGGGTTTTCACTGGCTAATTTTCAGAAGTATATCACCAGGCCTTTCTTCCTATTCTTAGTCTGTAAGGTCCTATTTGAAATACATTGGTTGCATACACAACACACAAGCCACCACAAATCACAAACTGACAGGTAGTGGTATCAATGATCTTAGTTACCACTTTAAAAATGCAGGTGTGATTGGGTCACTCCTCTACTTAAAACCCTCTAAAGGTTCCTATGCCCTCAGGATAAAGTCCAAACAGCCTGGTAAGATCTACAGCCCTCTGTGATCTGGCTCAATTTACCCTTGTAGCCACATGCTTACCACTTCACTATTCACTCGACTACGTTTTGTTTCTCAATATGTCCTAAACTCCCTGCCCTTCTGTTCCCTCATCCACAATGTTCCCATTGCCTAAAATACCCTCTTCTGCTCGCCTTGCTTGGGTAATCAGTTCTTCTGGTCTTCATTTAGACACATTTCTTCCATGACCTTTCTTTGACCTTCCCTTCCCTACCTCCATGCATCCTGTGCATGGAGCACTTATAAATACTCTATCAGAACTGCCAGCTTACTTGTTTCTCTCTGTGTCTAGGCTTTAAATTATGAAGGGTCTTTTGCTGTCAGAATCTTGTTATATGTTTAAATTTCATTGTGGTAAGATACATATAACACTTTTTAAATGCTATTTTAAAGTGTACAATTAAATGTAATTATATTCACTATGTTGTGCATCCATCACCACTATCTATTTCCAAGTTTTTCATCATCCCAAACAGAAACTCAGTACTCCTCAAGCAATAACTGCCCATTCTTTTCTTCCCCCCAGCCCCTCATAACCTCTAACAAAACTTTTTTCTCTATGCATCTGCCCACCTGTATGTGGTTTTTAAAAGAATGATGTACAATTAATGTAAGATTTAATTATACTCACTCATGAGAATTTGATCAATGACCCTTGTTTTAAGTCAATTTCAACTGCAAGAACCACAAACAAGATGAATGGAGCATTAAACTCAAGTTACTCTTATTTTCATGTAGAATCACTATAGAAGCCCTGAGATCTTTGTTTGAAGACACAGCTCTTTTAAATTTGCCCTTTCAAACAACTACCTGTGGTAGATAACAGCTTCCAGTTTTCTATAATCAAAAATTTTACAAACACTTGTTCTTCTTGTGTATAAAGTTATATATGTGTGTGTGTGTGTGTGTATACAGGAAAGAGAAAAATGTTGACAGAATACTGCTAGACTAAAATATGATAAACTGTTGCTCATAATGATAAATACAGAGGTTAGCTTTTATTCATGGGGATATATGGCAATCAGTAACTTATCAGACAAAAATGGATAAATGTAAAACCAATAAAGGTAGTGAAAGGGTAGGATATCACCTTGGATAAGGTGATTGGTGAATCTGAGTCATGTCTCCCTTACTTGTACTGTTGATGATCCTTAGTGCTTCTTGTCTTTGCCATGAACCTTTCTGCTAACTTCTCTAGGTTCCGAGAATATTCCGTCTCAATTTCAGCTTTTTTCCGGAAGAAATCTTGTAGGTCCTGGAGAAGCTGAACTCGCATCTCTGTTTGCTGTTCCAGGCATTTCTGTTGCTCTACCAATTGAGCTCGAATTTCTAAGGAGAGAAGAGAATCCATTTAAGTGGTTTCACAAGAATTACTGAGGTGTGCTGGTATGTGCAAGATAAAAGTAAAGAATCCTAGTATATTTAGCTCTGTATTAGAGTTTTATTAGATTGCTGTGTCTAGGCTGGGTTTCCTTTAAAAGATGAGATAAGTTTTGGGAAAGAATATAATAAATGAGAATAGAAATATGGGTCATGGATGTAATGCCACAAACATGCATGTAGTCACAAGGGAAAAAAATGAAGGCTTTCAGATAACACTGTAACATGTGACATCTTTGGGTAGCTGAGCATATTGCCATTTTTTTTTTTTTTAACAGCATTTTACTTCAACAATCTCTTTTGAGTTTGAATGGCACGAAAATGAGCATCATTTCTTCCAGACTTCTGAACTATGACACATTCTGCTAGTTGGCAAATATAGAGACTGGCATCTGGTAATTTTTATTTAGTGCCTTAATTTCTAGTTTGTAAAACACACAGCTTCAGTGTTTATAGGGATGCTGCGCCTAAAAATAACTTCTTTCTACTTCCAAATAACCCATTCATAATGGGCAATTCCCAGATACCACTATATTATTCTTTTCACAGCATCAAGGCCTCTTCACTGGGTCTTTACTTTTATCACATCATTCAAACTCACAGCCTTATCGACACATAAGCCTGAAAGCATCCTTTGACAATTTTTAACACATTGGGACACTGAAAGTTAGTCATTTAGTGATTTGCCAAAAGCACAAAAGTAAAAATGTGTCATGGAAAAACATTTGTAAATGACTGTAACAATGAAACATGAGTTTTGGAAAATGAGATACAGTAACTAATAACTACAGACTTTTTTTTTTTAAGGTCCAGGGCTAACCTCCAAAGACAAGACTGTACTAGAAAACTTTTTATTTCATCTTTCCCCATGCTTTTCCCTAGAACTGAGGTCTGAATCTAATTCAGTGAAGTTAGTGAAAATCAACATCCAAATAATACCTTTTCGGTGTCTTCCTATTATTCCTATTTAATACAGAAGACCTGAGCTGGTGGTCACATAGCATAACTTGAGTATGGTTAATCAAGTTTATTAGTAGCAGCATGGTTTAGTCCTAAATGGTAAGTCAGGACATTTTCCAGATTTAATAATAGCTATTAATAATCCAAAGGAGCCCTGGTAGTGCAGTGATCTTGGTGGTTAACTAAAAGGTTGAAGGTTCAAACCCAGCCTCCATAGGAGAAAGACGTGACACTCTACTTCCATAAAGATTATAGCCATGGAAACCCTATGGGGTCACTAGGGGAGCTCTGGTGGAGTAGTGCCTAAAGCTTCTGACTGCTAACCAGAAGGCTGGCAGTTCAAACCCATCAGCCACTCCTTGGAAGGAAGATTGGGCAATGTACTTCCAGAGAGACAGTAGGCAGAATTGCTATGAGTTGAACTGACTTGACAGCAGTGAGTTTGGTTTGTTTTTTTGGATAAGGTCACTATGAGTTGGAATTAACTCTATGTCGATGGGTAATAATCCTAGGCTTACTATTCTACCTTATTGAGGTAGGTTACTAGTATTATCCCCATTTTACAAAGAAGAAACTGCTGAGATTAAGGGTGGTTAAATGCTTTCAGGACTCATGATAGTAAGTAGCACAGCCTGAGCCTTTAACCTGGGTCTGTCAGTCTAACCAGTTAAATACTTCCTGTGCTCTTTCTGTCCATCCACCATTTTCTGAGCAACTGTAGTGTGCCAATGGGGCAGAGGTAGTTCAGAGGTAGAATTCTCCCCTTCAATACGGGAGACCCATGTTCGATTTTTGGCCAGTGCACTTCAGGCTCAGACACCAACAGTCATCAGAGGAGGCTTGAGTATTACCATGAAGCTGAAGAAATTTCAGCAGAGTGTCCAGGCTAAGATGGACTAAGAAGGAAGGCCTGGTGTTCTACATTCAAAAATAAGCAAACACAATATCTGTGAATCACAGCAGTCTGATCTGTAATGGATCATAAGGAAGGCACAAGACTGGGCAGGATTTTGTTCGGTTGTGCAGGGGCTGAGTGAATTAGGGGCCAGCTCTGAAGCAGCTAACAACACTAGTTATCAGGTCTGTATCTGGCAAAGACAGCACATAACTGACGAAATAAGGTCTGTGTCCACGATAAAGTTATGTTCCAAGAAACACTGTTTCTGGGGAACCATTAAGGGAAAATAGGGACACGTCTTCTCTTAGTTTCCCTACCTCTAGATTGAAGGATCCTATTTTTAATCTCAGGTAAGTGTTGTGAACATCAGAGTGAACACATTATTATAGGCTTTTAACTACCACAAACAGCATCTGGTTTTTAATCAATCAGAGTGTTTTTCAATACAATATTATAATCAGCATGTCTGCCAAATTCCTTTCCCCACAAATGTAGAGCTATTTTTGTGTCATAAAGAAAAAAAAATCAAGGGTGGGGATATTTCTCATTCAGGAATCCCAGTCAGTCTTTTAAGATGAAGTAATTCTAGCACATCTTGCTGTGGTAAGAAAAAATAAATCAATTGTCTTAGACTGTCAACTAGTTTTTTCTTTAAAAAAAAAAAAAAA